TTGGTTTTTTAGAGAGGAAAAACGTAGAACAAAATCTGAATGAAAAAGAAAGTTGTGGAAGGTTTGTGAAGGGGAATCTTTGGAAAGGAATTTTATGGGTGGTCAGGACTGATGAAGATTGGAATAAATGAGTTTAAAAAGTACACTGGTATAAGATTGAAATGTGGTTTTCTCTCAATTAAAAAGACAACATTTTCTTGTATTGTTGGTCTGCTCTTGATAAAAAATTATAAACAAAGTTTTATAATGAATTAAATTTAAAAATGATAAAGTTTATAGTTAAATTAAAAACAAGGTTTGTAGGTGTTGTCTTTACCAGGTTTATAAGAAACTCCCATCAGATCTTTAACCATGGCCATTTTTAAGTCTGTCACTTGCAGAGTTGCTGTTTTCCTCAGGAGATTCATAGAAAAGACTTGGACAAATACAGGTTTCTGGTAACCAGGATCAATTTGCCTTCATGTAGGAGGCATGAGTACTTAAGGATATAAGTATAAAAGGATAATAAACCTTTTAAGTACTCCCCCAAGGCTACCTGCATAGCCCCACAATATGACATGGGATGGTGGCTGGGACCTGTCCCTGTTCTCCTTCCTCACGTCAGTAAAATGTACATCAGTGGGCATAATGTTAACAAGTAGAGATTTGCCTCTGCCGTAGGACATCTTACAGGCTTTGCTGGAGACTCTGCCAGGGAAAGGAGGGGCAGTGAATCCACAGAAAATTCAAGGCCCAGGGGTGCCTGGGTGGCTCAGTTGGTTAAGCGGCTGCCTTCGGCTCAGGTCATGATCCTGGAGTCCCGGGATCGAGTCCCACATCAGGCTCCCTGCTCAGCAGGGAGTCTGCTTCTCCCTCTGACCCTCCCCCCCTCATGCTCTCTGTCTCTCATTCTCTCTCTCGCAAATAAATAAAATCTTAAAAAAAAGAAAATTCAAGGCCCAGGCACTGCCATAAGGTTTTGGGTATCATCTGGTCGGGTAAGACTTAACGTTGTCCCAAAAGTTATGATTGATAAGGTACAATCCTATCCAACCCCTAAAAATGTGAAGGAGGTGCAAGCCTCTGTAGAGATTTGGGGGTTGGGGAGGACTTTTCTTCCCTACCTGGCATAGTGCTTCCATCTCTTATTCTGCCGGGTAAAGAAAGGGCACACGTGGGACTGGGGATCAGAGCAGCAAGCTGGTTTTGAGATAGCAAAAATACTAGCAAAGCCGATTAAAGCTCTGGGCATCTCCCAAATAGGGCTAACACTTGAGTTAAATATGTCCGTGACTCCAAAGATACGGGTAGACAGAGGGGAGAGTGCCCCTAGGGTTTTGGTCCCAGTTCTGGAAGGGGGCAGAAACCCAATATACCCCATAGAGCAGCCACTCCTAGCAGGGTACACAGCACTCCCCCCCCAGGTAGGGCCTCTCCCACTGCAGCCGCTGGGTGGAGCTGAGTGGTCTGGCCAGTGATCACGCAGGAGCCCTGACCGTTAACCCTTTACACTGACAGCTGGGCTCTACCAAAGGGATTAGCTCTATGGCTTGGACAATGCGAGGCTAAGGGGTGGATGATTACGAATAAGCCCTTGTGGGGTAAAGATGTGTGGGAAGACATTCGAGTCCATCTGCAAGATCTTGTCTGAGGCAGGCCTCACTGTTTTCCATGCCACAGCTCATAAGGCACTGACCCCCTGGCAATTGGGAAGTTGATGCCCTACCTCAGGCACAGGCCTTAGCTAATGACCCTTCAGTAGGTACAGCAGATTGGGTGCACAGAAAGAATGGCCATCACAATGCCCAGGTGGGATGGAATTTTGTCAATGATGCCAAATTGCCCTTGGAGTACAGTGACTTCACTAAGGAGGGAACAGGCTGTCCTGGGTGTTCTAAACAGCTCCCAAGGCAACTGCTGAAAGAATCTGAGGCCATTTGCTGCAGTTCCCAACCGGTGAAGAACTGGCAAACTGATTATATTGGCCCCCTCCAAGTGAAGATTCCATGTATGCCCTGGTTTGTGTGCACACTGCATCTGGCCTAACCCAAGCTTTCTCTTGCCGCTGCGCACGGCAGGCTGCCGCCATTAGGGGATTAGAGAAACTGAGAACTATGTATGGGTAGCCTCATCAAATAGATAGCAATTGGGGAGTCACATTTTGAAGGTCATGATATATAAGACTGGGCAAAAAAAAAAAAAAGACATCAAATGGAGGTTTCATCTCCCCCATGATCCATAAGCAGCAGGGTTGGTAGAGAGAAAAAATATTAACACAGCAGATTAAATTAATAGATAAAACCACCTTCGGCAGGTAGACTAAAGTACTGTCTAGGCTTTAATACGTTTGAATAATCAGTGAGTAGGACCAGTTGCCCCATATCTCAGACTGGGGACCCCTGACAAGGCCCCCAACACCAAACGGGTGTGGACGTGACAGGAAACAGCCCTTGCTCCAACTCTCAACCATGGGTCAGCATGCCATGCTGCTGAGAACACCAAGCCCCGTCATGCCTGGGAAAGGAATGATCTACTGGAATTTGCAATGGGGCATGCTGACAGGGCTGGCGAGTTACTTCACATTCCTGGGTGAGGAGGGACTACTCATTCTCCACTGGGATCCATTGTCCTGCTGCAAGCTGGACCTGTTGAAATGCACTGTGCCTGAAATGGAACAGACACGTGGAGAGAGAGGAGAAGGCGAGGGTCCTATTCTGGCATGTCCTGTCCCCAGTCTGTCTCCTCACGCCTGACAGTGCTGCCCCCCTGGCCAACATGCACAGTATGCACAACTGAGGCAGACTCCTAAAGCTGCCAACCTCCCTCTCTCCTCAAGCCCAGGTGGGCACTGTCTCCCTGGTACGGTTACTGGCTACAGTCTTCGTTCCCTCCACGGCCTTGGAGGGTGGTACAGCACGTGGAGAAGCCCTGGCTGAATTCAGTCAGCAAACCCTGAATGATAGCCCAAAACACCTGTCCTTACTGAGCACTGAAATGACTCTAAGAAGAAAAACTGTCCTCTAACATAGGATGGCCTTGGACATTATTCTTGCCTCACAGGGAGGCACCTGAGCCATTATCAAAACTGAATGTTCTCAGCTCCTACCTGGTGAGTCTGCTAATGTATCATCCTTATTAAATCACAGGAAGACACAGGTGAATGCCCTGAGTGATCCAACTCCCAGCCTAGAGGATTTAATAAATTGATGGTTTGGATCCCGGGGCTTTTGATAGAAAGAGTTGTCACTAACCTGGGGAATTATTGTCTTCATCTGTGTTTTCTCTTACGTGTACCTGTATCGTCACTATGGCATCTGCCTCCAATGCCCAGATAGCCACCAAAAGAGCCACCTCCAGGTTAATCATTGTGGAAGAGGGGGGCGTGTGAGATTGTAAGAATTGGTCACCAGGGGTGGAGTGTTGGGAGTGTCATCAAAAAGACATGACCGCCGATTGACCTGTGAGCACTCTGAGGCTCCTCACCCCTTCGTCTTTCCTTGGAATGTGGGTTCCGCTGGCCTTTCCTGCTCCCAAGGGCTGCTCCAAGGACATAGCCTTGAGATGGTGATGTAGTATTGAAAACACCTGCACGGCCTATGTGACTGAGCCCAGTTGGGGCCCCTTTATAAAGCTTTTTAAGATCTGAAGGGCTGCCACTCAGGACAAGCCTCGTATGTAAGCTCCACTGGCCTTACTAAAACGGCCACCTGCCAACCTGGAGTGACCTGCCTCTTTCTTCCGTCCCTCCCTGCCTTCTGTGTGCGGGGGCCAGTTTCAGAGCACACCAGGAAAGCTCCCGAACCCCCTGCCCCATTCCAACCATGGTGCTCAGTCATCCCTATCCAGGTCCCCTACTTCTCCATTTGGGGGGCCCCCTCCACTTTCAAACTGTACAAGGAGTACAAAGGGCCATGACACGAAGGCAGGTGCAGAGTGTTGAGGGGGTATAAACGGTACTGATGATGATGACTTGATTGAGTCAACAGGTCTGCTGGGGGCCCGAGGCACTGGCTTGCCAGGGCAGGTGTTCAAGGCAGCCTTTCTCCTTCACCCCACCTTCTTGTCCCCATTGGCCAAGACTGCCCAGCCCTTCCTGTGTCAGCCCCTCCCAAGTCCGCTCTGCCCCGAGGCAGGGCCCGCCTTGCTGAGAGTCTCGACCGGAGCCAGCAGGTGGAGGAACCCGCTCCCGCCGAGGAGTGGCTGCCGTCATGTCCCTGCCGCAGCTTGGTCGCCTGTGCCTCCTCGCCCGCCCACCACATGGCGTCCCCAGGCTCGCTGTGCTGCTGCTGCCATTCTGGGCAGGGGCCCACTGCCCTTGCCAGGATCCAGCGTTGTGCCAGCCCATCACCCAGCACCGTGACTTCGAGGTCAGTGCCTCTCCCTCGCCCTTTCGGGTCTGGTCCTTATGGCCTGGTAAGAAGTTAGAGTAAAACTCAGCCCTACGAAGAGGTGGTGTGGGTGCAGTCACCAACTTTGACCACTCCCTGAGGGCCTCTTCATGGATTCCTTCCTCGTGTGATGAGGACACTCCGAGAGGTTGAGGCAGGTGTTCAAACCCAGGTCTGACCCCCAAAGCCAAGGTCCTTCCATTGCCCTGCAGTGCCTCTCGGGGGGGCCCTCTGGGCATACTAGCAAGGAGGTAGGATAATGAGGTATTTCCTAAGTAGCGAGTTCCGCCGTTTTCTAAGAGAATGAATATTTAGCATCAGAGAATCTCAGCACTCCAACACAACACCGGAATGCAGAATGTTCTACTTACCTTTGCTTTTCCCTATCTACCAGCCCTTCTTTTAGGCGCCTCAAAACAATCCAAGAAGGATGGTAAAAATAATTCTCCTTGTACCCACCTAACAATTTATAAGGCTTTGGGGAACTTTAATCAAACACCCTTTCACAGGCAGTGTGAAAAACCACCTGACCCCTAGAGTTTGATGACTACAACAGGAGTTGAAGGAGAAAAGGCTTAATCCTGTGAAAAATAATAGACAGAAACCTCCTTTAACTTTTTGAGGAGCCTCCATACTGTTCTCCAGAGTGGCTGCATCTGCGTTTGCATTCCCACCAACAGTGCAAGAGGGTTCCCCTTTCTCTGCATCCCCTCCAACATCTGTTGTTTCTTGGGTATTAAAGAGGGCACTTGTTACGATGAGCACTGGGTGTCATGTGTAAGTGATGAATCACTGAATTCTACTCCAGAAACCCATATTGCACTGCATGTATGCTCACTAACTAAAATTTAAATTAAAAAAAAAAAAAAAAAAAGGAAGGAAACTTCCTAAAGTAATGGTCAGGAGGCCAGGCAGGGGGAGCGCTCACCTACTCCTCAAGTACAGACCCAATAGGGAAAGCAGGGGTACTTTGCAGGTGGTGCTACTTTACTACCCTAACAGGGAGAAGAAAGGCTTTCCTCCTTTCTGGCAACAGCCCAACCAATGAGACATCGTTACAACTTAGCCAATCAAAAGCCACTATACTTCAAACTCCCAGTTTACTCCAACTGATGTTTTGTTTATAACAGTCTTCCTCACTTCCCCTTTCCCTCCAAAAGGAGTGTTTTTCTTCTTTGTTTCGTGGTTTTGCTGTAGCTCGTTTGTCCTGGTTTGCAATTTTCTGCTATTCCCAAATACTTCTTTCCTGGTAAAATAGCTGACAGCTTTTTTTTTTAAAGGTTAACATTACTTAGTGATCAGAAGTGGGATCCAGAGAAGATCCCAGCAGCTCTGAGGCTGGTGAGCAAACAGGTGCTGGTACCCACGGAGCATGTGCTCGTTGCTTTCTTGCCGACCCTGGGGTTTGAGGGTAAGTTTTGTTCCGGATTTCAAGCTCCATGCTTTGTGTTTGAGTTTTCCAGACATTATTTGGGGTTTGTTTCAAGGCCGTGTTTTTGTTTGTTTTCTGAGAGTACTCACTTTGGCCCTTGGTAGGACTCCTGTCTGGAACTGGACTGTTCCTACTGGAACTGTGTTGGCCTTTGGTCTGATTCCTTCTGGAACCAGGCTGTTCTGTTGAAACTGCTGTTTAGGAATTTTTCTCTTTAGAGAAAAACCTTCAGGAAATGGGATCCCAGTCATCAATGCTTTGAGGGTGTCCCCGGCCAGGCTCTGGCCAGTTTTGTTTTAAAACTATGGTCTCAGGGCACCTGGGTGGCTCAGTCAGTTGAGCAGCTGCCTTCAGCTCAGGTTGTAATCTCGGGGTCCTGGGATCAAGCCCCGTGTAGGGCTCCCTGCTCAGTGGGGAGCCTGCTTCTCCTGCCTCCCCTCTGCCCCGCTCGCTCGCTCGCTCTCGCACTCTCAAATAAATAAAATCTTTAAGAAAACAAAAAAACTATGGTCTCTCTCATATGCACTTATAACTAAATGGACTGACTTAACCAAAATGTAGAACATCAATGGCCATTATGGGGAATTTCGATCTCCCCAAACCTGCTTTACTTGAAGTTAGCTATGGCTCCAAAACAAAAAATTGAATGGGATGCTTATTTTAAATGGTACCTCGAGGCTTCCAGATGTTCTCAGGATTCTAAGTTTGCATCTTTGAAAGATACTGTTTCTAACCTAACTGAGGCAAACAATTGAAAGGAGTCTAAATGGCTTCTGAGGCCCCCTTTCCCTCCCTCATCTTCTTTGCAGACATGAATCTGTCTTCTCCTTCCTCTCCTGAGCCTCTTAAAAACCATATTCTTTTTTTTTAACTTTATTTTTTATTTTTTATTTATCGGAGAGAGGGAGAGAACACATGAGTGAGAAAGGCAGAGGGACAGGGAAAAGCAGACTCCCCACTGACTGCTGAGCAGGGAGCCCAAGGTGGGGCTCGATCCCTGGACCCTGAAATCATGACCTGAGCTGAAGGCAGACGCTTAACCGACTGAGCCACCCAAGTGCCCCAAAACCTTCCTCTTTAAAGTTTTTTGTTGACCTAAACAAAACCCAAGTTTCTTATGATCCCTTATTTCTTATGATCCCCCTTATAAGGCCGAATTGTGAGCCATAAAGTTTCCTAAAGTGACTGAGTACCCCATAAATTTGCTGAAAAATTTAGCATATTCAGACTTCATTTCTCAGATTTATATCAACTAGTCCACCTGCTTAGTGGTGAGGACCAGGCCAAATATTGGATGAAACTAACCCTAAGGTAACATCCTGATGGTGATTTAGAGAAACCCCAAATTTTTGACAAGATGCTAGAACACTCACTGGAAATCTCTACTGAGCAATTAGAGTAGCTTCTGTTAAGCCTGCTGATTGAAACAAGAGTCAAGCTTATACACAAAAGCCTGACAAACCTGTTTATGATTATTACAATCAACTCCAAATTGTATTTTAAGAATATTCTGGTCTTTCTGTAGATGTTGAATCCACCTGGGTAGCATTTCATTCTGTTTATTAATGGGCTTAACTGGGACCTTTCTCTTTTAGTTAAAAGGATCAGGATAAAATAAGAAACTTACCACTCCAGATTTAGTTAATTTGGCAAATCTGCTCACTCACATCCTTGATGAACCACCTAAAAGAAAGACTGCTAAAAATCTCAATTTTCAACTCCAGCAAATGAAGGCCCCTAAACAAAACCCAAATCCCCATAGTTTCTGTTGTTACTGTTCTAAAGAGCCAGGGCATTGGGAAAAAGAGAGTTTTATGAATTTAAGCATTCTTAAATGGTACCTTCATCCTTCTCGTTGGCCTTTCCAATGTCCTCTTAATTCCCGGTAACAGAGTTCCAAGGAATTATAGGGGCTCTTCTCAATCCTCTCTCTTAATTGGCTTCAGAGAAACCACTCTCCAGACTGGAAATGAAAATCTGTTTTTTTTGATACCAGAACTACACTCTCAGTGCTTAACCCCATTGCTACAGAGCAGCTCCTGCCTTAGAGCACTAAAACAGTTCAAATAGTGGGGGGCCTCTAATAAACCTCAACACGATCCTGTCTCTGAACCTTTTCCCTTTTGTGTAGGCCCTTTGAGACCTACCCTTTTTCTCTTTAGTTATTCTACCTCCATTTATTGGGCTGAGAGTTCTTAGAAAAGTATCATGCCAATATTTTTCTCAAATGGGAGAAATAACTCTAGAATTTGACAAGAGTAATGAAAATAGCCAACCAAGGAAATTAAATGACCCTTCAACATATTTTATTTATTCGTATTGGCTGAGCTACCATCCTTTTTATGGGCAAAAGCCTCAATTGATACTGGCAAAATCCCCAGTGCACCTCCCATCAGGATTCAAATAGATCCCTTAAAACCTCTCCCATAATTAATGCCCTATAAATAAGGCTCTCAAGGAGACATCAAGTCCATAATAGAATATTACAATGCTTGGGGCTTCATTGTCTCCTGCAGTAGTGCCTGTAATACCCCTATTTTAGCTACGAGAAAACCCAATGACAAGGATGGAGGTTTGCCCAAGACCTCCAAGCAATAAATAACATTGTTATTTCTTGGCACCCTGTGGCTCCTAACCCCCTCCCCCATTTTGCCAAGGGTAAAACTGCAAACATTTATACCGTTAGTTGTTATGTTTTGGGGGTAGCTCATGACTTTGGAATATCATGGGGACAATGGGCTGTCCTTATCTCTAATGGAAATAAAATTTAAAATGGCTCCTATGTCCAAAATTTATTAGAAGCCATATTTTTGTTGACTGCCCTAGCTCTGAAGGTTCCTGGCATTTCAGACTCACTCCCTGGAGGACAAAGTAATCCACCTCACTATTTCTGCCAAAATTGCTCTTCTCAAGGAAATCATTGGCCAGACCTCTCCCATCGCTCAAAGGGATGTTCTCTCAAATGATAATTTTGGAAAAATTGACCAGAAATACCCAACAATTGGCCCTAGAGAAGGGAAAAATATTGGAAATCTAATAATTGTTGGCTCCATAAAAAGACAACTTTGTTGTGGGCCAAATAACACTGTGGCCCTACCAGAAATTCTAAAATTTCCTGTACTTAACCACTGTACATGCATTGAACAATTAGTCTGCTGACAAATGATAGCATTTATGAACAAATTTTGGTGGGGAAAAGTTAATGAGGCTTTCCAAAGTGCCTACCATCTAGAGAAATCTGTTCCTACAAATGCATTTTAGACAACTTCCCCTCTCATGGATAAATATATTTTAGTCATGGTTTGTGTGTTTTCTCACTGGACCAAAGCTTTCTCTTCTAAGTCAGGCCAATGCTTCTGTCAGAAAAGATTATACCTGGGGCACCCCTCTCAGATATTGCAGTGATCAGGGAACCTATTTTACTGGTCAGGTTCTATGCTGTTTGGCTGGTTTTACAACACTTTCATTGTGCATACTGTCCTCAATCCTCAGGGTTAGTCACATGCACTGATGGCACTATTAAGATTCAACTGGCAAAATTAATAGA